CCTGTCACAGCCAGGCCAGGGGAGCATCACCTGTGGGCTCCCACGACACATCCCCCGAGTGCCCAGCGCCCCCCTCGCCCACCTCCCCGCCCCACTGCAGCCAGCAGCCGCGTCCAGCTCCTGACCCGCGTGGCCGAGGCAGGGTGCGGCCCGGAGAGAAGTCGGGGCTCCGTGGCCCGGGCTGTCCTCTCTCTGCTCTTCCTGGGGAGGCTCCGGAAGAGACCTTGCCCTTAGCGCCTGCCTGCTTCCTGTTGGGGGTTAACAGGGCTCCTTCTTCCAGACAGGAAGCCGGTGTGGCCGAGGGGCCGCCGGGACCACGCTGTGCCGGCCAAGGACAGGGGGGAGGGACCTGCTGCCAGGGACTGTCAGCCCTCACGCTGCCCGTGTGCACCTGGGCCCCGGCGGAGGGTTCCCGGGGCGGGGGAAACTGAGGCTCAGGCCCTGGGCTGGAGCTAGAGCTGGAGAGGCCCCAAGGATGAGGGCGGGAGTGACAGGAGCCAGGTGCGCGATGTGTGTGTGAGTGTGTGTACGTGTGTGTGAGTATGTGAGTGTTTGTGTGTGGTGGGGGTGTGTGTGTGTGGTGGAGAGTGTGTGTGTATGAATGTGTGAGTGTGTGTGTGTGAGAGAGAGTGTGTACGTGTGTTTGAGTATGTGAGTGTTTGAGTGTGTTTGTGTGTGAGTGTGAGTTTGTGAGTGTGTGTGGTGGAATGTGTGTGTGAATGTGTGTGGTGGGGTGTGTGTGTGTGTGTGTGTGTGGTGGAGAGTGTGTGTGTGTATGAATGTGTGTGTGTGTGTGAGTGTGTACGTGTGTTTGAGTATGTGAGTGTTTGTGTGTGATGGGGTGTGTGTGTGTGTGTGTGGTGGAGAGTGTGTGTGGTGGAGTGTGTGTATATGAATGTGTGTGTGTGTGTGTGTGTATGTACGTGTGTTTGAATATGTGAGTGTTTGAATGTGTTTGTGTGTGAGTGTGAGTTTGTGAGTGTGTGTGGTGGAATGTGTGTGTGAATGTGTGTGGTGGGGTGTGAGTGTAAGTGTGTGTGAGTGTGTGTGTGCTGAGAGGAGGCCCAGCTGCTCCCTCCCTCCTATTACATAACAGCCTGCTGTGCAGTCTGTCCTGCTTGTCGCTCCCGGCTGCCCAGGGCTCAGCGTGGACCCACTGCCCTCCGAGGCCCTGAGCCGCAGGCTGTCCCTCACGCTTCAAACAGCGGGCGTGGTTGTTGGCTGAGAGGGAGGGAGAGGGAGAGAACCGTCAGTGATGGGAGAGAATCACGGACCGGCGCCTCCAGCGCCCCCACTGGAGACGGAGCCCGCAACCCGGGCCTGGGCCCTGACCGGGAACGGCACCGTGACCTCCTGGTTCCTCGGTCAGCGCTCCGGAGCCAGGCCGGCCGCTCCTGGCCGGGTTTTAAGTCGTTACCTGCTTGCCGTTAGCTTTGCACACCGCCCGCGCCCTCCTCCGGCTGGCGGGCTGGCATCTCTCCCGTCAGCAGAGCCCGCTCTGTCTGGGCTGCAGGTGGCATCTGGGGCAGGTGACAAAGGACCTTCCAGAGGCGGCTTGTTCCGGGTGATTTTTGAAGCCCTTCCCTTCACGCTCAGGTGACTCCAATGTACAGACAGGCCTGAGGGCTGGAAAGAGAGAGGGGGGGGGGGGCTGCCTTGGACTCAGGCCCTTGCGATCTGGAACCAGCAGCTGGGACGGCCCAGCCATTTTAAAATGAAAACGTGAAGCGGCAGCCCGGCTGGTTGGACTCAGGGCACAGACTCCATTCCCGCTCAGGGCGCAGGCCCCCCTGGGGACGCAGGAGGCAGCCGATCAGTGACTCCCTCTCCCCATGGACGTCTCCCTCTCCCTCTGCCTGCCTCTCTGAAACCAATAACGACACATTTAGCAGGTGCAGACGCTGGTGTGGGTGTAAGAACATGACGTGAATGCTCCTGCGGTCAGGGACCGGCTCGCTCCCGCCTCCCGCTGGGGGGGGTGGGGGTCTGTTGGCCAGAGCACCGGGAGCCCTCAGCTGCCGTTCTGATTTCGGTTCTTCCCGGCTCGCTGCTGCGGCTTCTCGGACCCCTCAGGGGCGCTGGCTGTGTCTTCAGGGCGGGCGTTAGAGGTTGTGCAGGACGGCCCTCCTCTGTCCTGGGTGAGGAGAGCCGCTCAGGCAGACACAGCCGGGAGGGCCTGCTGGTGGACGCTCTGAGTTCTGTGTCTGGGCGTGCAGCTTTCTGGTGTGTGTGTGTGGGGGCGGGGGGGGGGGGGGGACGAAGGGGGAGACTCCTTGCTCCTGCCGACCCACAGGATCCCTGGTCCCCGAGGTCCAGACCGCTCTGCTGGGGGCGAGCGAGAGCCACGTGAGGTCGTGCTTCTTGCGGGTTCAAGGACACAGGGAGGCCTCGGCCAGGCTGCAGGCTTTGCCGGGCCACACCGCCGGCGGCTGCCCTCCGGCGCCCTCGCCCGCCTCCAGCTCCGTGCCCACTCCCCCGTCCATCCTCAGAAGCCCAGCCTCGTTGGCCTTTTTGGGTGCAAGCTTCCTGGTCTTTTTTTTTTTTTTTTTTTTTTTTAATATATTTTATTGATTTCATACAGAGAGGAAGGGAGAGAGATAGAGAGTTAGAAACATCGATGAGAGAGAGTCATCGATCAGCTGCCTCTTGCACACCCCCTACTGGGGATATGCCCGCAACCAAGGTACATGCCTTTGACCAGAATCGAACCCGGGACCCTTCAGTCCCCAAGCCGACGCTCTATCCATTAAGCCAAACCGGTCCCAGCGCTTCCTGGTCTTTTTAAATATATATATTTGTATTCATTTCAGAGAGGGAGAGAGAGAGAGAAACATGGTGAGGAGAGAGAATCATGGATTGGCTGCCTCCTGCACGCCCCACACTGGGGGTGGAGCCCTTAACTCAGGCCTGGGCCCTGACCAGGAATGGAACCATGGCCTCCTGGTTCACAGGTCGATGCTCAACCGCGGAGCCACACAGCTGGACAAGCTTCCTGGTCTCAGCCCTCCAGGGGAGGGTCCCTCCCCCCCCTGGAGGCAGGCAGCCTGTGCAGGGGTGGGGACAGGCGAGGTGCCTGCGGCTGTGGCAGCCACTGTGGCAGCCACGGAGTGGGAGAGGGCGGGGGAGTGCGTCAGGGAGCTGAGGTATCAGAAGTGGGGTGCGGTGCCAGGAGCAGGCCTTCCTCATTTCCTCGTCCACCACCCCCATCCCGCCCCCGCCTCCCGCCTCCCGGCCGCCTTCCTCTCTGCTGGGCAGACTCAGGTTACCGATGCGGCCTTTCCCGGTAAATGTTTGCTTTGAATTAGGGTTTTGAAATATCAGAGGTATCATTGAAAAGTAAAAGGATGACACATGAGCCAGCGAGGATGGATCTTTGGTTTGGGAAGGGCAATACAAAGTGAAAAAGAAACTGCCAGGGAAAAGATCCATCGGCTTGACTTCATAGAAGTTCAAGTTCCTCAATAGATGATACTCTCAGAGGGCAAACGACAATTAGGACGACACCTGCAGCCGAGGGTCAAGGTCTTTGCTATATAAAGAGTTCTCATCGATTAACAACAAACCAGCAGCCCAGCAGAAACCCAGGCAGGCACCGCAACCAGCAGGCCTCAGCACCAACTCGTGTCTCACACACACAGGACACCCTGTCCAGTGAACGGACCACCCGGAAACCGCTCTGTGGTCCGGTGGGCACAGATGCGAACCTCCGGCCAGCTGGGCCTCCCGGAAGCCGGCGGGGGCTGTGCCCAGGGCCGGCCGATCCTCGCTGAGGTTTGCTTTGCAGGGAAGGCCTAGGAGAGAGGAAGCACACGGGCATTTTGGGGGTGAGTTCAGGGATATGGGTCATTTTTATGCTTCTGAGCACATTGCATAATGTTTTGAAAAAGAGCTTAAAAAAACCAGGTCACGGAATCTCCGCTCCTCACGAGCTGGGGCTGGGAGCCAGGCTCCGTTTGGGTGGAACCGGCTCCCGAGCAAACACGTGCATTTGAACACCAGGAGCCCGGCCGGCGGCTTGGGGTTGAGCTTTGACCCAGGAACCAGGAGGTCAGGGTTTGATTCCAGGTCGGAGCACATGCCCGGTTTTGGGCTCCATCCCCAGTGGGGTGCATGCAGGAGGTGGCCGGTCCATGACTCTCTCTCATCATGGATGTTTCTCCCTCCCGCCCCACCCCCGTCCTCCTCCTTCCGCTCTGAGATCAATAAAAACATGTTTAAAACACACACACACTAAATAAACACATAGGAAAGAATTGTCTGAGAGAGCAAATATCCGGCTGGCTTCCTCAGATTCACAGTCGTCCACGCTCCCCCGGGCTGCAGCCGAGCGGGCGGGGCTGTCCAGGGGCGGGGAGACAGGGGCCGGAACTGGCTCTGGAGGACAAAGGTCTGCCCCGGGCCCTCCCGTCACTCAGTGTGGGCGGCAGCTCTGCGGGGTGACAGGTGGTGCCGGGCGCGGTGTGGATAGCGTACCGCAGGCACACAGGCGGAGTCACCGGGTCAGACCGGACCTCAGAGGCGGGGTGCGCGCCTGTGGTGACCACTAACTGAGAACAAACGGGAGGCCCTCGGCCTGGAGTTGCCAGGGAGGCTCCTGGGGGGGCAGCGGGCCTGGGGGGAGCGGCCCTGCCCAGGTGTCCGGCCAGTGGTTAAGCAGGGTGGCAGGTGTCCCACGCAGGGCACATGGGCGCCATCTGCACTTTTCCGGATGTTCTGCTCGGTGGGGAGGGGGCAGGAGTGGCATGGAGGGGGGGCAGGGATGAGCTCTCCATCCTGAGGGCACAGGTTGGCCCGGCCCCAGGGGGCAGTGCGGGGTGCAGACCCGCTGTGTGGCCTGGGCTGGCAGGACCCTCTCAGGAGCGAACCAGCACCCGTTTGGGGCCGACGGGCACCTGCCGAGTGCGGGACCGTGGCCCATGCATCCCCCTCCCTCACCCCCAGGCCGGTGTGGACGCGCCCGCGGGGCCCAGGTGAGCGGAGGATGGGAACACGCCCCGGCAATGTCTCTGGGCCGCCTCCTCCGCCGCCGGGCCTCCTCCAGAGCCTCCGACCTCCTGACCCCCGCCCCGGGGGGCGGGCCCCCCTCCGTCCTGGACGGGGAGATCCTCTACTCCAAGAACAACGTGTGTGTGCACCCGCCCGAGGGGCTGCAGGGGCTGGGGGAGCACCACCCAGGTAAGTGAGAGGGGAGGGGAGGGGGTCCCGGCCTGGGGGAGGGAAGGGGGTCCAGGCCTGGGGGAGGGGGTCCAGGCCTGGGGGAGGGGAGGGGGTCGGGCGTGGAGGGAGGGGGGCGGTGGTCCAGGCCTGGGGGAGGGGAGGGGGTCCAGGCCTGGGGGAGGGGGTCCAGGCCTGGGGGAGGGGAGGGGGTCGGGCGTGGGGGAGGGAAGGGGGTCCAGGCCTGGGGGAGGGGGTCCAGGCCTGGGGGAGGGGAGGGGGTCCAGGCCTGGAGGGAGGGGGGCGGTGGTCCAGGCCTGGGGGAGGGGAGGGGGTCCAGGCCTGGAGGGAGGGGGGCCGTGGTCCAGGCCTGGGGGAGGGGAGGAGGTCTGGGCCTGGAGGAAGGGGGGCCGTGGTCCAGGCCTGGGGGAGGGGAGGGGGTCCAGGCCTGGAGGGAGGGGGGCGGTGGTCCAGGCCTGGGGGAGAGGAGGGGGCCCGGGCCTGGAGGGAGGTTTCAGGGGCTCTGGTGTCACTCCCCGCTTGTCTCACCCTCACCCTGAGGTCACCTGGGACAGGTGTGTTGGGGCGGGCGGGCCGGGCCGGTCTGAGGGGGCTGTGTTCTGGGTGTGAACGAAAGCGCAGTGCACGTGGCGGCGGCGGCGCCGTGGCTGATCCTGCTGTGGCGGCGGCGGGACTGAGTGCAGGACACCTGGTCCCCGTGCCCGGCTGGCGGGAGCTGGCAGAGCCTGAGGGAGGTCCGGGCCCAGCGCCCACCCTACAGGACCTCAGAACAGAGCCCGGGGGGCGGGGAGCCAGGAAGCCGGGGCCGGGGGCTGGGAGGGGCGGGGGCTGCGCGGTAGGCCTGGGAATCAGGACACCTTGAAGTGGCAGGTGCTGCTGTGGGGAATGCCACTGTCCCCCCAAACTGAGGGTGCAGGAGCCCAGAGAGGTGGCCCCGCTCCAAAAGCTGCATAAAGACTAAGCTGCCCGCGCCCCAGCTGGGTGCTGAGCGGCAGCCTGGGAGCCAGGAAGACACAGTTCATTCCCTCAGGGCACAGGCCCAGCTTGTGGCTCCATCCCCAGTCGGGGGCGTGCAGGGGGCAGCTGGTCCATGATTCCCTCTCATCTTGGATGTTTCCATCTCTCTCTCCTCAGAAATCAATAGGAAATATATTGTTAAAATGAAAAGAAAAACGATGCCGATAGGGCGGTGGCCAACTGAAGGGGCCCCCAGGGCAGCCCCCTCTGGAACGCCTCCCCGTGGGGGGTGCGCACTGTGCGGGGGCCTCCTGGGGAGCCCCCAGGGCAGCCCCAGGCTTGAGGGGACCCAGGACAGGGTGGGGCTCTGGCCGGAGGAAGGCTCGGAGGAGGAGAGCACAGGTCGGCTGCTGCTGGGCCGTGCAGCTGGCACTCATCCCAGGCCCGGCATCCCCCTCCTACCCGCCCCCCCCCCCGCCCCCGCGTCTCACGCCCAGCTGTCCCCCGCGTCTCACTCAGGGCCGGGCTGTGCCAAGCTCCCAGCCCCGCAGCCCCGTGTGCCCGGCCGGTGAGGCCGCTGTGCACGGCCCTCGCTCCCCACCGCCCTCCCCGCAGGCTACCTGTGCTTGTACATGGAGAAGGATGAGCTGCTGGGGACCACCCTCATCCTCGCCTGGGTCCCCAACTCCCGGATCCAGCGGCAGGACGAGGAGGCGCTGCGCTACATCACCCCCGAGGGCTCCCCCGTGCGCTCAGCACCCCGACCGCGGGGCCGGCGCACCCAGAGCTCGGGGGCCCCCTGTCACGTCTCCCCCACGGAGCCGCGGCCGCCCCTCACCCCCCGGGACGAGGACACCCTCCGGGGGGACGGGGAGAAGCTGGCCCGGGGCCTGAGGATGGACGGCGCCCTCCCGACCTCGCAGCCGGCCCACAGCCCCTCCGGGACCCTGTCCGCCGGCAGCTCACAGGACGGGACCGAGGAGGGGCGGGAGCCGCAGCCCGAGGCGGGCGAGGAGGAGGGCTCCATGGAGCTGTCGGCCGAGGGTGTGAGCAGGGACAGCTCCTTCGACTCCGACTCGGACGCCTTCTCCTCCCCCTGCTGCCTGTCGCCCGTGAGCGCCGCCCTGGTGGACAGCAGCGGCTCCGTGTTCCTGGAGGGCGAGAGCGGGTGAGTGTTGGGTCTGGGCCTGCGGCCACGCTGGGGACCTGGGGTGTGTCGCCAGCCCCAGGGGATTAGCCTGCCGTGGGCCTGATGGGAGTGGTTGTCATGGCAACCGTGCAGCATGCTTGGGGTGCTGGGGCGCCCCAGAGGGGGCGTGCACACGGCTCTTGGACAGCGGGCCTGTGCAAACCCAGCCCAGCCGGGGCCACCCCGGCCAGAGGGCACCCAGCAGTCCCCTGGCCACGCTGGGTGGGAGCCCGCTGGGTGCACACGGACTCGGGGCGATCGGGACGGTGAGCCGGGCAGTCAGGGCGCAGGTGCCGGGGCGCGGAACGCTCTGCGCCTCAGCGGGAAGGAATTCGCGATTCATTCTGATATCAGCCCTCGCTCAGCCGCGCTCCACTGAAGCCGGAGGCACCGATAACATGTTCCCACGTGGGCGGGAGGGGGCCCATACAGCGTGCTGAGCCCTGAGGTGATCCACCTGAGGACCCGGCTGGGAACGAAGCGCCAGCCCCCGCCTGGGGCCCGCGGCGGCCGTAGAGCGCCCCCTGGTGGTGCAGCGCGGCAGCGCAGCCCAGGGGCCGGGCCTCAGAGCGCCCCCTGGTGGTGCCGCGCGGCAGCCCAGGGGCCGCGGAGGGACAGGTGTCTGAGCTCTTGTCTCCACTGTGCTTAGCGGGGTGCCAGGCCTGCCTGCCGGTCCCGTGGCTGACGGTCTGTGGCCGATGCTCCCGTGGCTGGTGGCTGGCGGTCTGTGGCCGCCGCCTCAGTGGCAGGAGGAGGACCAGGGCCGGGCCTGCTCAGCCGCCTGGTTCCTTAGGAGCTTGGATTTGGGGACCCGGGGACCTGGCTGGGAATCCCGTTTCCGCTTCGCCAGGCGGGGGAGCAACGACAGTCTGTGGTTCCCCGAGAACTCTCTGCCGGCCTCCTGCCTCCCGTCCGGGGCCCTTCACACCGCCCGAGCCCGCTGTCCGCAGTCCTCACGGCGATCCTGCCGGGGCGGCGACGGCCAGAAGGCCGGGCCAGGCGCGCCGGGAGCCCTCCGCGCAGGGCGCCCGCCACCGTGACTGCTCCCCGCGAGGGACGTGCAGGGCCCGGGCTTCCCGGCGGTTGTGGTCGCGGCGGGCAGCGCGGGCCTGGAGTCGGGGACTCGGTGTTTCCTTTTCATTTTAAACGCTTATTGTCGGTTTTGGAGGGAAACGCCGACGTGCTGTTCACCTCACGCACCCCTGCCGCCTCTGTATGTGCCGAGCGGGGCCGCCACCGGGGCTCCCAGTCTGGGCGCGCGTGCGTGCATGTGTGCGGGTGCGTGCGTCTGTGCATGTGTGCGCGCGCGTATGTGTGTGTGTGTGCGCGCGCGCGTGCGTCTGTGCGTGTGCGCATGCGTCTGTGCGTGTGTGCGTGTGTGTGTGTGTGCGCATGCGTCTGTGCGTGTGCGTGCCTGTGTGTTTCGTCCTAAAACGCACCTAACCGATTTGCTGACGGGCCCGTTTTCAACAAGTCAGGGCCCTTCGTGTTTGCACCGTCACCTCAGGAAGTTCCAGAACTTTCTCAGCGGCCCCAAAGGACGCCCTGCCCACTCACGGCCACCCCGCCCGGCGCCAGCCGCCACCGGGCGCGTCCTGCCTCGGGACCGGGCAGGCGGCCTGTGTCCGGCTTCTTCCACTCGCCCCCCCCCCCGGCTCCCCTCCCTCCTCACGGCCCCTTCCTGGCTGCGGTGCTCAGGGGCTCTGCGCCGCTGCAGACGCCGCGGGCAGCGTGTAAACCTGATGCCCAGGCTGCACCCGCACCGCACCTGCCGGGAACCCGGATGGGTGGGGGCAGGGCCCCGAAGGCAGTGTCTGACCCAGGGGCTCCCAGTGTGCACAGGGAGGGAACCGGGCTGGCAGGGGCCCCGGGGAGGGGCGTGGCCTTGCGGACACTGAGCACCCGAGCTCCGGAGGGAAGTCCGGTCCCCAGAGGAGGGCGGCCGGCTCACGGGGTCCCTCTAGTGGCAGAGTCAGGAACTGCGCGCGGAGGCTGACTGGCTGGAGATGGGGGGGCGGGGACAGCGCCCCCATCGGAGAGCCCCGGGCATTGTGTTCCGTGGCAGGTGGATCCCAGCGGCAGGTGGTGACAGATGGCAGCGCCATTCCGGTGCCGCCGGCGGGGGAGCCGGCGGGGCCTGGTCTTAGATGGCGCCGCCTCCAGGCATCCAGCGCCAGCAGGGATGCCAGGAGTCAGGCCTCACCCGGGACCACCCCCCCCCCGTGGCCCCAGCTCTGCCAGCAGCACTGGCTTCCCTGGCTCCTCCCACCGCGGCTTGGGTGGCGGCGAGGGTGAACCCAGGCAAGATCACTGGTGCCTGTCCCAGGAGGCACGGTGCAGCCTCAGGGCCTCCGGGTGAGGATGTGGGACAGCAGACGCGGGCCCTGGAGTCGGGGACCCACCCCACCTGTGACCCCGCGTGGGTCCCCCCCACCCCGTGGCGCGTCCACAGGCCCCCCATGGGGTATTGTAAACGGACACGCAGCTTCTCCCCAAAAGCAGAAGGCCTCTGGGAACTGCTGCTGGGACCGGGTCTGACAGCAGCCGCCCTGTGAGGCGTTCATCCCGGTGTTCATAACGCCCCTCCCGGCTCAGGGCTGAGCGTCGACCTCTGACCCGGGAGGTCACCGGTGGATTCCCGGTCAGGGCACAGGCCAGCGCTGGAGCTTCACCCCGGTGAGGGGTGTGCAGGAGGCAGCTGATCCCTGATTCCCTCTCATCACTGATGTGTCTCTCCCCCTCCCTTCCTCTCTGCCACCAATTAAAAAAAGTATTAAGAAAAAAAAGACCGCAACGTCCAGCAGAAGAGGACAGACATGGCAGCTCAGTCCCTCTCTCAGATCGGGGTTTGAACTGGGGCCCGTGTGCCCCCCAGTCTCATGCCACCTTGTGCGTGGGGGCTCCTGGGGTGCATTTTTCTGAGGGCACACCATCCGACTCCCCAAGGGCCTGTCACCCCGAGTTCAGTGCTGCCAGAGGGGAGAGCGAGCAGCCGCGGATTCAGAAACGGCAGGCGGCCAATTACACACGTGTTCTCTTTTAAATCCGTCTTTATGACGTCACCGAGAAGGGCGGGGAGAGGGAAGCATCCATGATGGGAGAGAGCCACGGATCGGCCGCCTCCTGCATGCCCCCCACTGGGGACCCAGCCCACAACCCGGGCCTGTGCCCTAACCGGGAATCAAACCGTGACCTTCTGTTCATAGGTTGATGCTCAACCACGGAGCCCCGCCAGCCCACATTCTATTAAAATCTGTGCTGCCGAAACCGGTGTGGCTCAGTGGACAGAGCATCGGCCTGCAGAATGAAGGGTCTGGGTTCCATTCCGGTCAAGGGCATGCACCTTGGTTGCAGGCACATCCCCGGTGGAGGGTGTGCAGGAGGCAGCTGATCGATGTTTCTCTCTCATCGATGTTTCTAACTCTCTATCCCTCTCCTTCCTCTCAGTAAAAAAATCAATAAAAAATACTTTTAAAAAATTAAAATAATTTAAAATCTGTGCTGAGACCTGATGTGTGGGCACAGCCCGGGCAGCCCTGCCCAGCGGAGCTCATAGCTGTGGGCTTCTTGCCACCAGCACCCCACCCAGCGGGAGGGAGACGGGGAGGGTAAGCTCCCAGGAGACTGGTGAGCACCCGTGAGCCCCACGGGGACGGGATGGGGGGAGAAGTGCCCGAGGCAAGGGTTACTGGCCTCGGAGTGATTTTTTTCTCTCTCAGTTTTCACAAAGTGCCCGGCGGTCAGGATGTGGCTCACAGGGAGGCCAGGCGGTCCCTGCACCCACACACCGCCTGCTCCCCTCCCCTCTCCCTCCCCCGCTAATGACCTACCAGCTTGTCCCCCCAGAGCAGACGGAGCCTCCTCCCTCCCCCCCCCAGGCCCTTCCCGTCACCCTGCCTGCCGGAGGGTCCCCCTGGCGGCTGGGGCTTCGGCAGCCGAGGGGAGAGAGCGCCCCACGGAGGGAGGCTGGGAACCCCGGGGCCAGGAAAGGGCGGGCACCAGGCCGGACTGAGGGCAGGCCGGCGGTGCCCTGAAGCCGCCCTGGCTCTCCTGGGCCCTCGGAGCTGCGGGGCCACCGCACCCGTGAATCCCCCTGAGGGACTGGCCGCCCAGCCGCCCCGTCACCCGCACCCCCTCCGCTGTGCCCACCCTGAGCCACGGCCTGCTTCTCCCAGCAGCCCCTCCAGCTCCGGGGCTCCTGGCTGCATCCATCCATCTCAGCCTGGTCTTCTCTGGCCCCGCCTCCGCCCTCACATCACTCTCCTCCAAGTTCATGTGCCCTTCTCCCTTTTCACACGCCTACACTCATGTGTTCATGTGGCCCCACCCCACCTTGTTCACATGACCATCTCACCTGTTCACGTGGCCCCGCCCCCTTATTCACATGACCATCTCACCTGTTCACGTGGCCCCGCCCCCTTGTTCACATGGCCACTCTCGCCTGTTCACGTGGCCCCGCCCCTTGTCCACGTGACCACTCCTACCTGTTCACATGGCCCCACCCCACCTTGTTCACATGGCCACTCTCATCTGTTCACGTGGGCCATCAAACCTGGAAATGCAGCCATAGTGACTGATCAACTGAATTATTACTTTCATTCTTCCTCACCGAACTCAAAAAATTATTTTATTGATTTCAGAGAGGAAAGGAGAGGAAGGGAGAGAGAGAAACATGAGGGAGAATCCTGGTTCATAGGTCAGCGCTCACCCACTGAGCCATCCGGTCAGCACACATTTGGATTTTGAGGGCTGCCTGTGGGGGGCTTTCCCGGGGGGGCAGGCCAGGCAGTCAGGCCTGGAGGCAGGTGGGGCATCGTCTCCGGCACAGAGCAGCCACCGGAGCTCTGCCCGGGAAGGTGGGGCAGGTGCAGGGTGGCCGGGGGTCGGGTTACCTCAGAGCCACAGGCAGAGGCCAGTGCGAGGGACAGCGGCTGCCGGGGCCCAGCTGGCACGGGTGGGGGGGCATGGGGTGCCTCACG